CTTGACTTAAGAAATGCCCTATCTTGATATATTGCTGGTCTAAGGTCACCACCCTATGAGTGCAGTGGGAAAGTTAGGGACATAAACAGGTGATTAAGCACGTGACTGAGCAGGATTTCTGAGTGACCATTTAGGGATCTGGGCAAAGATGAGTGGGTCATAAATCATAAGTTATGACTAGAACAGAAGAACTAGGCTTATCTGCTTGCTTGGGCAGGAAGGGAACGGGGCTGTGAGTTCATACAGTGTGGGTTTTCAGTGGCGTGTGTGCATGTGTTCAGTGGTCGAAAACCTCCTCCCAGGCCTCTCCAGCAGCAGAGAGACAAAGAGACAAACTGAGGGTAAAAATGGCCTGCATAATGCAGAGCTACTAGTGTACTTATAGAACATCTGAAGGGGTTCAAGGTATAAGACTGCACATAGGTGTGATTGATCATTTACAGAGGTAAAGCATTTTGGCAGAGGCAATTCTCTTGCGGGGTTAACTCAAGGAGATGCTCTGTCTCTCAGGGACATCTATATTCCTTTTCTCTTTTCTCTTACTTGAACATATTAAACAATTAAATTTATTTCTTATTAATATCTGCAGTTATTTGGATAAACACAGTGAGAGGTGTAGATTCCAAAACTTAGTTTTCTGGGCTCCGAGAGCAAGCAAGCCTTTTGCTGTAAGTCCCAGACTAAGTCCTCAGACCGGTCCAGCTTGTTCTTCCCCAGGGGGATCCTGTCTCTTAAGTCATAACAAGTCATAACAGCTTGCATCAAGACCATGCTTTCTTGCTTTCTAGACTGTCCCATTTGTAGCTTCACCACTAGCCCTGAGTCCATCACAGTCCCAAGGCAGGATCTCCCTTTGTGGGGTGTAAGGAACTATGGCAACTGAAGCCTGAGTCAAATAATTACGATGGATGCCCAGGAGTAGATATATTTCAGTCAATCACCTCCCAAATATTAATAGCATAACATTAATGGTCTTTCTGTGTTTAAGCCAAGAACATTGCTCTATGATAAAGTATGAAATGGCTATAGAGGAAATAGAAAAGCAAGTAATTCACTATAAATACAAATACCAGAGTTACCAGAAAGTTTGACTTATCAGACCTGACTTGGGGAACTGTGGCAATGAGGTGTAAAACACAAAAGAAAAGTTAAAGATAAACTCAGGGGATTGAGGATGCTCACAAAAGCACAGTAAGTTTCTCTGGGAGGAGGAAAAAGGTCAATTCACTGATGAAGCCAGAAACACTTATGGTTAATAGCCAACATTTAGTAAATATCTATTTGGAACTTAAAACAGAATGTATTAACCACAAAGATTTCTAGCAATAAGGACTTGAAGTCGCATGATGCTCATGATGCAGACTCCCATTGTTGTGAAGCAAATGATTGGGAAACTTCATTCTCTTTCCATTCTCTTTCTGTTCCAGCATTTTTCTGAGCCACCAAAAATTTACCTAAATAAAGATGCTCCTTTATCTGTGCCCTCCACCAGTAACTTCAGGCTGGTTGCCTAGCCCTGCCCGATCAACTGTTATAAATCAGATCACCTTGCTCTTTCACCTTAAAGACTCAGTGTGCTCAAGCTATCATTCTAAGAGGGGGGGGCAGAGAGAGAAAGAGAGAGAGAGAGAAGAGAGAGAGAGAGAGAGAGAGAGAGAGAGAGAGAGAGAGAGACTCACAGCCAACTGTATAAGGGAGTCAGCATTAAACTGAGTGTGAAAAGTTTACCAGATACAAAGCTTAACCCTCTAGCTTCAAAAGATTCCCATCAGTTTAAGCTGGATTGTAGTTTATCTGCAGCTACTTGGAAATTCTAAAAGCAAAGAAATGATTTGAAAAATCAGAAGCAAACTGCCAGAGAGAAGAAACTTATTTCGTGTTTCTTGAAACTGCAGGGAGTCTAGGAAGGAAAAACGGGAACCCTGGAGAGAAAGTGAGTGGTCTCTGTGGGCTCCCTGAACAGCTAGCTGATTCCTCTCCCTCTCCTTGTTCTCATGTAGATCCTCTGGTCCAGGTTGTAGGTAACTTCTTTTGCAGGCAGAAGCATTTTTCAGATGAAAAAGTCTACACTGCACCCAGAAATTGCTAATCTGGCTAAAACAGTCCAGTGAATAAGATCCTCTGTGCTTGCCTTCCAAATGGAAAAAAATGTAGAACTGGAGTAATAGTACAGCAGATGGGGTGTTTGGCTTGCACGCGGCCGACCTGGATTCAATCCCAAGCATCCCTTATGGCCCCCTGAGCCAGGAGTGATCCCTAAATCAGGAGTAAACTCTGAGCAGAGCCACATATGGTCCAGAAACTAGGGGGAAAAGTGGGGGGAAGTATCAAAGCAGTAAGATGGCAGTAAGACACTATTTCCTTTCCAAAAGTCTGCTGTTTTATCCAGTAAAGATGTTAGAAACATTTTTGTTTTAAGTTTTATTCCCTCAATCCTACATACTACTTTGCAAACATTTACTGAAGAGCCAATTTGAGTCAAGTCCCATGCCAACTTCTGGGAGAAAAAGATGAATTAGGCACAGACCCTGACCAGGAGGAATGCAGAATGTCTAGCATCTTCTACAGAACTTTGAGCAGTCAAGCCCAAGAGTAACACTTGTTTATACTGCAGAGGGGGCAGGGGCAGCCTGACTCCCACTGCGGCTCTGTTGCTTCTGCCCCCCCCCCGCCCTCATCCTCATCATTCTCTCCTCTGCACCCCACCATGCAGAAGGTGGAGCCTTGACAGCTCTGTAATCTCAACCACAAGTTAGTTACTGCTCCACCCTGTGTCCTGCTGAAACTCAGGTTTGTCCTATAATTATTGCCATGCCACAGCCTGGTGCTATCTGATAACTATAGATTTCAAAACAGTGCTTATAATTCCTGCCAAAGCTATCCTATAATATCATATATAAACTCGGCCAACCTGTTCAGCATGGGCTAAAAGTTGAGTGCAGGTGCCATAAAATAGAAACTGTAGGTGGAAAATCGTCAGGCACTTAAAATAAATAAGTGCTTATTTTAACTGTATGCATACACAGGTACACACACACACACACACACACACACACACACATACACTTTTTTCTGCTGCTTTGGCTCAGTTACTAAGTGAATTGGTCCCAAGTTTCTAGAAAAATGAAGTTGTCCTGAGCACAGTGCATTGGAAAATAAACATGAGCAATCAATTCAGTAGTTTCCCGGAGAGACGATCAATAGAGCAATGTGGATTTTTCTTCTCCTGGGAACATGCCCAGTGGAGTCTGTTCTTGAGTGACCTCTAGCCTCTGAGGCTGAGAGTTGATCAGGAAGGGTCAGATTTGCTGTGTCCAAACATCATTTGGTAGAGGTTATCAGTACTTTTCCCACAGAATACCAACTGTTCCATACATGCAGGGAGGTGTCCTTGTACTAGGCAAGTCTGGTAGTATTTTTAGGGGAGCTAACAACTTAAGTATTCCAAAGAATGCACTGTGCTCCAGGTCCTGCAAGAATGTTGTATGAGCACTGGCCACTTACAAGGCTGTCTGAGCATAGGCTACTTGTTGGAGTACAAGGAGCTTAGGTTTATCAGGTTGCACCCATCACAGTGCTCCCGAGTCACTCCCATTACTTTGTCTGTCTGTAAACCACTTCTATGCTCTCTTCCCCAACCAATTTGTAAGTTTCATCCTTCTTAAGACACTGAAGCTGTACTGCAAATATTGTCTTTCTCCTCTCCTTATGTCTTTTGAGCAGTTTACTTTAATGCAATGTCCTTTTGTATAGATACAGGAAGACAATGAATTAATATCATGCTTTATAACTTAGGATTTAATTGGCTTTGGATATTATTCACTCCCGGGCATCTGCTTTCTCAACTTAAGCCTCAGTTGCCCTCACTTCCTAGCACCCCAAGGGCAGGGTCCCGACGAGGGACTGATGGAACCAGGGCAAGCCGGTAAGTTATGTGCTACCCTGGCATCATGATGGGCCAGGCCAAGGTGCCACGATTCTTAACTATAGGTTAAGAGTTTGATCATAGGCAAATGCTGTCATGATCCAAAAGTAACGATGAGACTAGGACCCTGCTGCTAGGAATAGGAAAGATATCTGGTCTGAGCACTGCAGTCTGAGATTGAGATGGCCCTGGGAGAGCAATTCTATAAGCTCAAAGTATTTCTTACTGTGTCCATACAAAATGATTTATATTATGTATGCTTATATGTTGGTCGCACAAGGAGAGGAGAAACACATCCAGGGAAATCTGTTCTAGTGTGAGTTGATCTGCTAAATGAGAATCTGCCCTAGAAGCAGTTTTCCTTCTTGTCCTCACTAGCTTGGATGAGACTGAACTTTCTCCCCTTCAAACTGCCTTCAGTAAATGATTTCAGTATATTGAGGCAGTTTCCCTTATCTCACAGGAACCTAGCTGGCCTTAGGTATGCAGATCCCAGGTGCTAAGCCAGGCCTGGTCTTTGGGATATAGATGCCTGGCTCCAGGAGATGTAGATTCCAAGCTCCAGCAGACTGGTTTTTGTTGTGCTAATCCAAGTGCTTGTAGTTTATAAAAGGTGAGGCCAGGATTACTGGCCTAGGGATGTAAAGAAACAATGTATGTTTTGCCTCAGTGTTCTTTCTGTAACTCCTTTTGATGACATCACTATATCGCACCCTTTAGAGGTACTATGATCTATATAAGGGAGATTTCAAGGCTCCCTGGGGTACACGTGCATCAGATAACCTGGGAATATGGGGCTGAGGACAGAAGCTGAGAGAACAAAGGCACACGTGTTTGAGAGATCCTGGGGCCTCCATGACATACATCTCTTCCATGTAATAAACTGCTGCTAAGACCAACCAGCCTGGCCCTCATGTCCTTCCTTCGCCTGACCATCGCCATCGACCTCCATGGAGTGGGAAAACGGTCTGAGACTACCGAATGCGGGCGGCTGGAGAGATAGACCTCCGGCCTTTTTATTTTTTGTGTGTTTACACAACTGGCATCCCTATCCCCGCGCCTGGCCGGCCCGCAGCGCGACGGATCCGGGAGCCTGCCGTGCACCCCTGCCCGCCCACTTGCACCATGCAGCTGCCCATGGGCGCCACCGGCTCCACCGCGCTCGCCCGGGCAAGCCCGTGGCGCAGCTCAGCATCTACCCGCTCAAGTCGTGCAAGGGGGTGCGGGTGAGCGAGGCCGAGTGCACGCCCCTGGGGCTGCGCAGCAGCCACCTGCTGCACAGGTTCTGGCTGATGATCAAGGAAGATGGACACATGGTGACAGCCCAGCAGGAGCCGCGCCTGGTGTTGGTCTCCATCGCGGCTGAGGGTGACCGCCTGGTCCTCAGTGCCCCAGGCATGGACCCGCTGGTTCTGCCCAGCAAGCTGCCTTCTTCCAACTCCATTCAGAACTGCAGGATATTGGGCCTCGACATCCAGGGCCGGGACTGCAGCGGTGAGGTGGCTCAGTGGTTTACCAGCTACCCGAAGACGGAAGCCTTCCGGCTGGTCCAGTTCGAAAAGAACATGAAAGGCAGGAAGGGGAGGGAGATTCTCCCTGATATCAAGGAGAAATACCAGGTGGCTTACCCAGACTGCAGCCCAGTCATGGTTCTCTCGGATGCCTCCCTGGCTGACCTCAACTCCCGGCTGGAGAAGAAGGCCACGATGGATAATTTCTGGCACAACATCGTGGTGATGGGGTGTGGCGCCTTCGAGGAGGACACCTGGGAAGGCCTGGTCATTGGCAGCGTGGAGATGAGGAAGGTCCTGTCATGTCCCAGGTGCATCATGACCACCATGGACCCGGACACCGGCGTGATTGACAGGAAGGAGCCTCTGGAGACCCTGAAGAGCTAGCAGCTGTGTGATTCCTCTGAGAAGTCCATATACAAGTCTTCCCCCCTTTTTGGAATCTACATCTCCAAAATCAGCCAGCCTAAAGCCAGGCATCTACATCCCAAAGACCAGACCTGGATTAGCACCTGGGATCTGCATACCTAAGGCCAGCTAGGTTCCTGTGAGATAAGGGAAACTGCCTCAATATACTGAAATCATTTACTGAAGGCAGTCTGAAGGGGAGAAAGTTCAGTCTCATCCAAGCTAGTGAGGACAAGAAGGAAAACTGCTTCTAGGGCAGATTCTCATTTAGCAGATCAACTCACACTAGAACAGATTTCCCTGGATGTGTTTCTCCTCTCCTTGTCCGACCAACATATAAGCATCACTGTCCTCCCATTGTTCATCGATTTGCTCAAGTGGGCCTAATAATGTCTCCATTGGAGACTTTGTTGTTACTGTGTTTGGCATATTGAATACATCACGGGTAGCTTGCCAGGCTTTGCCGTGCGGGCAAGATGCTCTCGGTAACTTTCCAGGCTCTCCGAGAGGGGCGGAGGAATCGAACTCGGGTCGGCCATGTTGGCTGCATGCAAGGCAAATGCCCTACCGCTGTGCTATCGCTCCAGCCCACATATAAGCATACATAATATAAATCATTTTGTATGGACACAGTAAGAAATACTTTGAGCTTATAGAATTGCTCTCCCAGGGCCATCTCAATCTCAGACTGCAGTGCTCAGGCCAGATATCTTTCCTATTCCTAGCAGCAGGGTCCTAGTCTCATCGTTACTTTTGGATCATGACAGCATTTGCCTATGATCAAACTCTTAACCTATAGTTAAGAATCGTGGCACCTTGGCCTGGCCCATCACGATGCCAGGGTAGCACATAACTTACCGGCTTGCCCTGGTTCCATCAGTCCCTCATCGGGACCCTGCCCTTGGGGTGCTAGGAAGTGAGGGCAATTGAGGCTGAAGTTGAGAAAGCAGATGCCCGGGAGTGAATAATATCCAAAGTCAATTAAATCCTAAGCTATAAAGCATGATATTAATTAATTGTCTTCCTGTATCTATACAAAAGGACATTGCATTAAAGTAAACTGCTCAAAAGACATAAGGAGAGGAGAAAGACAATATTAACTTACAGTACAGCTTCAGTGTCTTAAGAAGGATGAAACCTTACAAATTGGTTGGGGAAGAGAGCATAGAAGTGGTTTACAGACAGACAAAGTAATGGGAGTGACTCGGGAGCACTGTGATGGGTGCAACCTGATAAACCTAAGCTCCTTGTACTCCAACAGCTACTTACAACCACCCTTGGAAGTGATGGCTGTTACCATTCCCACTTCACAGAGGGAGAAATTGAGATCCAGGAGATTAAAGAGGTAAGATTTAGGAAGAGAAGGAGGGTGAGGAACTTATGCAAATGTCCTGTGTCCATTATAGATGGCAGAGCTCAAATGTAAACCAGATCTGTGTGATTAAAGGAAGGTGGCTGGGAGGGGCTATCTTCATGCTTGCCCACCTCCTCCTGTACCACACTTAGCCCCATTGCTTGCTTCTCTGAAATGGCCAGGCTGCAGGTTGTACTCATCCAGAAGCACAGATACTCCTGGACATCTAGTGCCAACTAGCCTAGTCCAAGAACACCTGCCTGAGTTTATGGAAACAGTTGGTATTCTGTGGGCAAGGTACTGATAAGCTCTACTAAATGATGTTTCCACCATTAGGACACAGCAAATCTGATCCTTCCTCATCAACTCCCAGTCGAGCAGAGGAAAGTGCATTCATTTTTTCCCATCAAAATATAGCTTCTTTATACTTCTTAGATTTTGGTGCATTCAGTTGAAATAATCTTACTATTCAGTTCCTGACACTTTATTTTCTACCCAGACAAAGCTCATCCTGTGTTTTATTTAACAAGTTTCCATTCTGTTCAAGCAGTAACACATTCACTTATATGTTCTTAAAGGTAGGCGTATACCCAGATGTGTACATAGTTACATACGTGTTTTTATCTCTGCATGTACACACATTCATTCTTGTACACATATAGCATCATTTGTGCATGTGCTTTACAGCTTTAAAATGTAATTGTGTCAATTTTCTTCTATATTTTCTTTCAATAGATTATGTTTTGAAGGTATAGAGATAAGATTGTAAATCGTGTATATTACTACTGACAGTTCATGTAGTGGTCCATCCCTGCCCTCAAACTGCACCCCTGAAACATGCATGTACATGTGTGTATTTGTGTTTATGTGTATGGGTAAGCAGGCAGGTGATATTTGTTCATGACCTGTTAGCATTACTTAAATGTAAGCTTCACAAGGGAGGGACTGAGTTAGTCAGAGCTGTTTTCTCAACAATTAGAAAGTGAAAACAATAGTTTCTTAATTTATATTTGTTGAAAGAAATAAATGAAAGTGCATACACCACATTTTCTTATCTCTTTCTCTGGTGAGAGAAACACCTACATGAATTTCTATCCCATTGCCATACTACCACAGGGAGCCGAGTTGCTCAGGTGAGAAATATATTCATATTTAACTTCTCTTCCTTTTCCTCCCTCTCTCACTTTTATTTCCTTGTCTTCCTTATGTCTTCCTCCCCTTCATCCCATTCTTTTCCTTCCTTCTTTCCTTCATTCTTCTTTTTGTCTCTTTCCCTCTCCTTGTCTTTTGATCGCTTTCCTCATTATTCCTTCATCTCCCCTTTCTCTTTCCATCTCTATCTATGTCTTTGTCTTTCTCTCTATCTCTCTCCCTCTCTCTTTTGTTTTTGGGCTACACTCAGTGGTGCTTAGTAATTATTCCTGGTTCTGTACTCAGGAAACACTCCTGATGGGGCTTGGATGACCATGTAGGGAGCTAGAAATCAAATCTGAGTAGGCTGTATGCCAGGCAAGTGCCTTACCCATCCCAGTCCCTATATTCTTCTTTCATTTCATTTTCACACATAGTACAATTCACAGTTCTTTAAGCTGAATCCCCCATAGACTTCAAAGAACACCAATTGTTCAATTGATAAGCAGAATCATTGTGAACGACTCAGAGTAGAGGTGCTTATTTCTAAGAAAAGGAGCAAAGCCCGAGATCCTATAGTTTTCTTCATTTCTGATCAGCAAGTGTAGAATTCTGGCTCTGTGCAAACCTCTGATAGCAGGGATGGGTGGGAAGGGAGGGCAGGCCCTGTTCCCTAAGCCAGGCAGGAGGACATGCATAGAGGGGCATGCAACAAGAGAAAGAGTTCAGTCAGGTGCAATCTACACACTTGTGTCATAGAATATATGGCTTTCTTGTCTGTTCTAGAAATCTCTCTGGGGAAAATAAGAAAGGAACAGGATATTTATAGTCTCATGTTCTCTCCCACTGATTAAAACTAGCTTCACATTTCTTTGGCATAATGACTATGAAGACCTCACTTATGTAGTATTTCTGCCAAAATGTATAAAGTAAACCTAACTACAAAGAATACATTAGACAGCCTCCAAGGAGGAGCATTCTGTAAATGCTGTGTGCCCACATATAAGAGAGGGCCAGAAGGGGAGACTAATGTGACTTGGCACCTGAAAGCAATGTGGGATGCTGGGGTTGGATTCGGGAACAGGGAAATATAATTTCTTCCGAAGACATTTATTGCATCGGTTGGCAAAATTTGAATATGTACTTCATAGTAGATCATACTTTGTATTAATGATAAGCCTACTGATTCTGAACATTATATTGTGATTCTGTAAGAAAATGTCCTTGTTCTTAGATGCAAAGGCCAAGATACAACAACTAAATCCTCAAATGATTTAGCAAAATTAACAGTAACAGGGGTTGGAGAGATAGTACAGGAGTAAATCACTTGCCTACGTGTGGTCCTCTTTGATTTGATCCCTGGCACTGCTATAGCTCCCCCAACACCACAAGCGTGACCCAGAAACAAAACAAAACAAAACAAAAAACTCAGTAATGGTAAAGAGGGAAAAAGACAAAGCAAATGTGGGGAAATATTAATAACCCATGAATCTGAAATATATATGGAGTTCATTGTACTTCCTACTTTCCTATAAAGTTAAAAATTTTCCCAAGTGAAAAATTAAAAAATCTGCTCTAGGGCCAGAGAGATAATACAGTTGGTAGGGCATTGCCTTGCATGCAGCTGACATGGGCTTGATCTCAGAACCCCACATGGTCCTTGAGCCCGATAAGGAGTGATCCTGAGCATAGAGCCAGGAGTAAGCCCTGAGCACTGCTGGTGTGACTCCCCTCCAAAAACACTCAAATAAATAAAAGTCTGCTTTAGTGGCTGGGAAGATAACTAAGAGGTTAGAGGCATGCCTACTTGCACTGGGACTTGAATTTAAGCACAGTACCATAAGTCCCCTTAGTATGGCTGTGTGTAACCCAGCTGGAAGCCTCTAAGAACTGCTGGGTGTGGCCTAGCAGATCTCACAACACAGTTGGGGTTGTCCTGTGGACCCAGCATATCTGAGCCCAAACAGCATCACAGTTACGTATCCTAGCATTCACCTGGTTCATTGCGTTTCATTGGAAGTGTCCTCTGAATCCCATGAGCACTGCTTGTGAGTCCCTACCACATCCCAATCTGTTTTGATTAATGTTGGGGTAAGAGCCCAGGGGTAAGGAAAGTGATGCTTATACCTGTGGAGATTTTATTGCTCCTAATTCATTTGATCCTTTCAGGCATCCAATCTGGTAGGTATCATAATTCCTATTTCACATATGACATGCAGGTCCAGGGAGATTAAGAGTCATATAAGATCTCAGGGTCTGTATGTTGAGGAGTTGGGATTTAGGCCTAGGAAGGCTGCTGCCAAGAGCCACAGTCTTTACTGCTGTTCCATGGACCTGAAAGCTGAGATGCTGGCCAAGTGAAAGCTTATCTGATAGAGGAAAATCATCTGTGTAAAAGCCTCAGTGAACAGGAGGGACATTCCCTAGGAAGAGGAAATCATGAGAGTTTAGAGCTCTAACTGCTTCTGGGTTGTGTAAGAAAGATTTATAGCCTGAACAGCCTCTTCCATGGAAGAAGGCAAGTGGCTCATAAATAACCAGGTTCTC